CAACATGACTATATTTGGAGATAACACTTGCAAGGAAGATTACTTAATAATATCATCATGATAGGTCCCTGATGTGGTAGAATTAACTTCCTAATAAGAAGAGGAAGGGAGACCAGAGATCACTTTCTGTAGGCATACATAGTAAAGGCCATGGGAGCACACACAGATAAACTCCCTTTTTCCCACCATTGTATCCTGTGTATTTCATATAGTGTTTGAAACTTGGTAAATAGTCAATGAAAGTATTGATAGAAGAATAAATTAAATGAATAGTTGAATATGATTTGAAATCTGGTAGTAGCATACAAAATGAATGGAAAAAGAGAAGGAAAAAGAATTAGATTTTTATAATAGTATTTTGATTGTGAAGACATTAAGAATCTTTACTAGGGACACCTAGGTGGGAAGGTAAGGAAAGGATGTATATAGATTATAAAAGCAACCTCCACACAGGATCTCCATGTAGCTTATATCTCACTGGATACATTAACAAAACTGAGCTACTAGTTATTAGATATAGTGAACACATTACAATCTTTATTTTATGTTGGCATTGTTCTTCAAATAACTTTTTTTTATCACTGCAACTTCAGTCTGAATTTCCCAAAGACTATCATTGGGAAGCTCAGAGTATGGGATTTTTTTATTGGTAATTTGGATACAAAGAATTTACTATGGCTACAAAATCAGGTGCACATAAATTGAGATATAGCTCTAGTGTACGTCATGTTAGTATTTCCCTGCCTTTCCCAAAGACTGGACCCACAAGGCACATATTTATTTATTTCAGTTTAGATTTGTAATTCCCAGACATGGTATGCTTTTTTGCAAAACAACTGTAGTTGTTTAAGTGAAGTAATATTTTTAGCTCTTAAGGTGTATTTTTCAAAGACAGGCAACTGCTGTAAAACTTAAGTACCTAATATGAGTTAAGAGAAATCATTTTCCTAATATCTAAGGGAGTCTGCACAGGGATTCATCATTACCATTATCACTAGGCAATGTTAGCACCAGAAAAGCTGGATATTATTCACTCTGAAAGCTTTGAGGGCACACTATACATCACTTTCTTTCTTTTTAATAGACTTTAATAGAGGAATCAGGAGTATAGAGAACAAAAACTGCAATGATTTCCCACACAATCAAATTTTTTAACCACAAATATAATTTGTAAAATAGAATTTTTTTCTCATATTGGAGAATTAAATATAAGTAGATCCTTTTACACTATATTATTTAGTGTGTTGTCAAGAATATTAGAATTTTTACAGTTGAAATTTGCATTAACTGTGTTCTTTGATGGTAGAGATGAAGTTAAACATTTAAATACAACTTCCTCTCTGGTGTCCACATCTTATGACAGAGAAATATGGATCTTTAAATTGCCCAATCCTAATCACAATGGAGACTAATAGTTTATTTTGGAAATAAGCTCATTTTGAAAAGAATCATCTTTTTAAAGATTTATAATAATTTTGCTTATGAAACTTGTCAATTTATATGTTTAGAAACTAACTCAGGGAACAAAACATGTAAACTACAGTTACCTATTGATTTGGGAATCCTGGTATTTTATAAATTCTTTTCTTATCCCAAATCAGGTATTGGGAAGGAAGGTTTGCAATATTTACTTCAACTCCATTTTATTCCCTTTTTTTAGGTCACTGTTTTTCAAATTTTCCCACATTTAAAAATCACCCAAAGCCAGGTGCAGTGACACATGCCTGTAATCCGAACTACTCAGGAGGCTGTGGCAAGGGGATCATAAATTCAAGGCCATCCAGGGCAACTTAGTAAGATCCTATCTCAAAGTAAAATTTGAAAAAAAAAAAAAAAGTTAACTGTGTAACTCAATGGGAGAGCATTTGCTTAGCCTGTGTGAGGCCCTGGGTTCAATTCCCAGGTTTGCAAATAAATAAATAAATAAATTTTAAAAAATTACCCAAGGATATTGTAATAATCCCAGTGTTCAAGCCACAACTCATGTGAATTAAATCAGAATCTCTGGAAAGAGGACATTAAAAATCACAAGTGTGTGAAGTTTCCCAGATGATTCTGATACACAGCCAAGAATGAGACCCAAAGCTCTTGACTCTGAATTTCTTCATTCTCATAATGAAGTGTGTTATATGAGAATATTCAAAGGTTGGTATAAAGGTAAAGGTCTAATTTCCATATTCAAATAAAGTGTCAAAAGCTCTGAACCTTTGATCTAAGATGTTCTGCGTCTTGCGTCCTTCATTTCCCTCTTCAAAGGCAAACTTCTTACTAGGAATTTTTCACTCTTAAGCACATGAGCAGGAGAAGGAACATGGTTCACTTCAGTAGATAAAGATCTATCTGCTTCTCAGACTTCAATTGCACTTTTCAAGAATTGATTCTATCTAAACAAATGAATGAAATGATTAGCAACTAATGCTAGCTTGAGGCCTCAAAATCTAATTTAAAATGCATTTAAATTTAAACATTTCACAATTGAAATAAATGGTTGATGTCCACAACAGTTAAGAAAACTATGTGCCAAATATCAGAATGCTGAGAAATCTTCATTCTGTGAATATTAAATTCTGTGTTAAGACTTTAAATGAAAATGTATGTAAGCCACCATAGGGGAAAATATATGGATAAAAAATCAAATATGAGACTCTTTATTTTATATAACATTTAATTGTCTAGAAATATGTGTTCTAGTGAATTTCTCAGCACAAATAATAATGTCTGCCTTGAATCCAGCTATGGATTGCTATGTGCCTGGCCATGTGCTCAGGCATATAAATAAAAAATATATTTTTATTAATGTATCTAGTTTTGAGCTGGGGATATAGCTCAATTGGTAGAGTACTTGCTTTGTATGCGCAAGGCCCTGGGTTCAATTCCCAGCACCACACACACATACACACATACACACCAAAAAAAAAAAAAAAAAAAAAAAAAAA